CACTAACACCTTTACTACAACAAACTTTGGTGGAGCCATGTTTGCAGTGAGTGTGGACTCTAAACCAATCTTCTGCTCACCTCACTTGTGCACTGAGATTTAACCTTCTCCACTTGGGGCAACAACTCGTCACTGACCTGTAGTGAGCACTCCATCATGGTCTCAGTCTTCTGACTTTTGCATTCTCATTGAAGCCTCTTCACACTCTGTAAACTGCCTAAGTGCTTGGAGGGCACTGCAGGACCCATATTATCTGCAAAAAGCAGCGATGTGATCCTGAGGCCACACTCCAGTACGCCACATGTACCTCAAAATTTACCATGAACTACAGCACATAAATGTATTTCCTTGTTTCACCGAATTCAATAAATCTTACATTAACATTGTAACACCTTGTCCAACTTTAGGTATAATTAATGACAATAGTAATCATACCTATTGTCCAAAAAAGTGCAAGAAAAAACAGCTTAAACTCAGAGGAAGTGTTAACCATACGATATCTTTTTGGCCAATATTTTGTTTCTATTGAACCAAAGTCCTTCTTTTATTCTGTGAATTTTTCTTTTAGAAAAAAGAAAAAAAAAAAAAAACCTGAAGAAAAATTTAATTCTGATAATATTAAATTTTCCTTTCTGTGTGCAGTTTGCATGTTCTGCCCGTTCTTCGTAGGTTATCTGCGGAAACTCCAACTTCCTCCCAGAGTTTAAAGACATGCAATTGGTGCAGTTAGGTTAATTGATGTTTCTAAATTGCCCATAGGTGTGAATGTGAGTGTGGATTGTTGTATGTCTCCCAGTGTTGGCTCTGCAACAGATTGGCAACCTTTCCAAAGTGATATTGATACATCTCCTGTGTAACCCTAAAATTTACAGCACTCAGAGAGAGCACGTGTGTCGAGTGAGGAGCTGGTATCGTGGATCTAAGACGCTGTTGCTGCTGTGGAGGCCTTCTGTGTGTCAGGAGGACGCAGGCCTCAGTGCAGGCCTGTGGTCTCCACTCCCTATAGTTTTTCAAACTGGAGGTAAACACAATGGTCTCTTCGATGCGTTCCATCAACCCAAAGTGTTCGGTTTTTGCTGTGTGTTTACTTGTGCCTCTGTCAGTGCGCCCCAGGGTGGCTGTGGCTACAATGTAGCTTGCCCTCACCAGTGTGTGAATGTGTGTGTGAATGGGTGGATGACTGGATATGTAAAGCGCTTTGGGGTCCTTAGGGACTAGTAAAGCGCTATATAAATACAGGCCATTTACCATTTACCATTTGTGTAAACATTTGGTTTACTTTTATCAGCTTACACACCAGTTGATTGGAAATGGTCATTTAAGCTGCATCTGCATTAAAATGAAGCTTAGGAGTCACACATCTGTCTGCCTTCCAGGTGTTGGGGGATAATCTAAGCTTGACATCACTTCCACTTTCCCACGCTGTCAAGCTTATTGTGACATCACTGGTGTAGTCCAATTATCTTCTGCTGGCCCTCTTCTGGCCAACCAGCCTTCGCTCCTCTGACTTTAGATCTTACTGCATATCTGTCATTCTTTCTCCACCATCAGCGTCTAGACTCAAGGATTTGTGCAGGACACCCCAATCACTGCCGGGATGGGCTATCGGAGTCTAACCACTTTACTAGACTTTGTTGGCCTGAACACATCTCACTTGTACTCCTATGTGTTAAAAGTGAGTGCAGCAGAAATGATCTGCAGCATGGGGACCACTTATCGACTCCAGCATAAAGTTCATAGTGAGTAGACTGCAATACAGGAGAACGCAGTGTCTGTCATTAGTGTTGACAAAAGTACATTTTAAGACAAAATACACAAGGAGAGTGAGTTTAAAGTTTGAGCAACTTCTGTCATTAAAATCTCATCTGAGGTTTTGGATCTCACAGAGACTGTGGCGTGTATTTGGGAAGCAGCTGCTGTTGAGCTTCCCTCTGTTTCTCATCCTTCTATCAGCAGTCCTCTTTCCACATGAGTTGGATTAACACATGGAAGGATTGGCTTCATTTTCAAGTGTTAATATCAGAATGAGTTTTCATTATAACCATGGGTGCTTGGCAGTGTCTCCCAGATTATCTTTGTCTGATTCTTCTCATCTCCCTCTGCTTTATATCGAATCACAATCCACCTGTCAGCTCAAGGCAGATTAGCATTTCCAAAACACATTAACTGCCTCTGCGTGTACGGAGCGAGGTGACAGACAGACGCACTGTTAGAGAGTCGGTGTCGCTGTTGGTGTTAAAAGCTTCACTGTTCAAAGACATTAAGGGAGCTGAGTGAGGAAGCTCCCAGCAGGCACTATGCAGCAGGGAGGGGAAAACTTTTAAGTGGAGGCAACAAAGTGAGGAGGATGCAAAGACTTTTTAAGTAAACTGCACATGTGATAGCAGTCTAGCAGTGATCAAGGTTTTTATTTGCGTTTCCTCTTAGTGCTGTCTTTTTATGATTAAAGGGGCCCTATTATACAAATTTGCAGCTCCTTTTTTAAAATTCTTGGACCTACTAAAGCTTTGCGTGATTAACAGTTTGAAATAGACATCCTGTCTGAAATGAGGTGTTTTAACTACTTTAAACTGACTTTCTTTTGATTTCCTCAATCCATTTTATACTACTCCTCCAATTCAAGATCCCAGAGCCTATTTCAGCTGCCATAGTGACCTCACCTCATGACTGTGGGAGGAAGTCAGAGTACCTGAAAAGAATATAAAACCTGCACACAGAAAAGCCCCAGTCGGGATTCAAACCCAGGGCTTGTGAGGACACGGTGCTAACCACTACACCACCATGCTGCCCACACTTTTGGATTCCTGTTGCTCATAAACAGAAAATTTGAACAGCAGGGCATCTATGCTCATCACTACTGTATGTGATGACCATATAAGGGATTTCCCCCATCTTTGTTGTCACACAGAGCACAGAGTAGAAAACTGCCTCAAACCTACTCTGTGCAGAAGTCTGAACTGTGAGTTTTTGTCTCTCAGAGACAGATGTTTCAGTCTTTGGCAGCCGTGTTTAATGTGAGAATCCATCAAAATAACACCATGTATATGATCATATATGTGAAAATAAGTATAAGCCTAAAAAGATGTTCTTTAAAGAATAAGCTGAAAGTCTAATTGTGGCTTACATCTGTCACACCTTTACTATAACAGATACAAACATATATAAAGGTTTGTATAAATCAATCCAGAAAATTTACAGGGATGAAGTCACAGTATTATGAAGTATCCAGTGAAGTTAGTAAGGCTTCTATTAATGCTTTTTCTTTTTTTCATGAGGAATTTCTTGAGCTACACTGAACAAAAGAACTGATTTCCATCCCGTCGTAGAAGGTTAGCTGACTCAGCACATCCGTTTTAAAATTTCTGAATTAAAGTGTCAGACTGAAATTATATAAAAATCATCTGACTTTGATAACTGTTCACACGATATGAACTTACATATCAATTAGAGAATGTATTTTTAGGGTCATAATATTAAGACGTGAAGAAAAAAAAAAAACACATTTCCCAGAGAAAAATGTACTACTGTACTTTAGCTAGAGAGAGTTCGTCATTCCAGCTCTGGTTATATAACCAACCACATCCCAGGACTGCGGCCCTGACACACGGCTGCTCCCCTATCTGTCTCTCTCTTTCGGTGAACTGACGTTATAAATAAACAAACGAGACAGCCAATAGATGACAGCCATACAAACCATGACTGTTTTGCTGCACAAAAGATTTAAAAAATATAATAAAATAAAAAGAGTGGCTGTGTTTTGGACCTTCATATTTCTCAGAATTAATTAGAACCATATTCTGTACCAAGATGTGGATACTGGAGCGGAAAAAAATCAAAGCTACTGATCCTACAGTTGGAAAAACTCAGCAAACTAATCAGACACACTGCCATGTATAACATAGCAAATAGTCAGTGTCACAATGTAATTAAATAAATCTTTAGCAAACTAGTCAATTTTTATCTCTTGCTTAAATGATAATTGAAAAATTGGTGACCAGGCACGTCTATAGTGCACAACCTGTACTGATGGTGTAACAAGTTGGGAAATCTTTTTAGTTCTGGTTTGGTCTCATAAAAAGATATTTGGCTCTTTTGCTGCTCAATGTTCCATTACATTACACACGGAGCCTGATGTTTGAGCCGGTGTTCTGGCAAAACACCCTACCTATCAAGCTGTCCTACTTGTTGTTACTGCGCACAACTCAAAACGGCCATATTTTAGGTGTTAATACTACACGCCTATTATTTGATCCTACCCTGATCTCGTGCATTCAAAAAAAGGTTAGTATTATATATTTTACTTCTTTATTACAGTGGATACTTGTTTTCCTTAAGCTGTTGTCAGTTTGTTAACTTTTCAAGCTAACATGCATTTTGTTTTTTTGTGAAAAAATACTCCAGTTTGGAGTCTCAATTAAAGTCATATTTCAGGTCTTGATTTAGTACTTCTAAACTTCTGTAAACTGGCGTACAGCTTAAATCAGGGGTCCCCAATCCCAGTCCACGAGGGCCGGTGTCCCTGCAGGTTTTAGATCTCACCCTGGGTCAGCACACCTGAATCACATGATTAGGTCATTA